CAAAAATTTCAGAATTTCTTTATTAATAGTGTTTGTAAAAATAAAAAAATTTAATAAAATATTACAATTTTTATATGAGAAAAATGGTAAAAAAAGGATGTTTTTTTCTTTTTTACCCGCGGAAGCCCATCCAAAGAAAACAGGTTAGGCTTGTAGCAACCACTCTGTGGAGCGTGAGTTCGATAATACGATGCAAAAATAATTTAAAAACAAGAAATGACGTTAACTACGGCTGCAGCGAATGTTGCATATTGAAAAATGCCCTTCGCAGTTGCAGCAGGTTGAACTCCTACTTATCCAGAACTGACCCCGACATACCAAATAAAATCGCAGAACTCTAACCACCTCTTTAATTGCCTACCCTGGCCATCTCACACCCCTCTCCCTATTGTCCAACACCTGCCGTTAGATGACTTCGTTTGTTACAACAACAACAACATCTTTATATTGATTTTGATTGGTCAGTTTGTGTGGAAACTACATGTTATAGTTATCCGATCTTAACAGTTTATTCAGAGTTTTTCATACAAGAATTGAATTGGAATCGGCAAGTTCGAATGGCAGTTATTAGTCACAGTCACACAGTCACAACAACAACAAAACAGCAGCTTCTTAAAGAGAAAAGGACGTATACAAAATTTCAGTTTGATATCGCAAAAATTGGGGGAACGGAATAGGCGCCGGAGGAAGAAAACAGCACTATCCAGTGGAGTAAAAACTGAGGTGAAAGCAAAATTACAACGAAAAAAATTTAAAGACTCTTCGGATGACAATTTATAAAACGTTATCCGATTAAAAAACTATTATTCGAGAAGTTTAACAATTTTCAAAGCTGTCTCTTAGCTATTTGCTCTAAAAACTTCAGAGAAAAAAATAATAATACGTCTTTGATTTGTACACAGTTTTGTTTTATTAGAATACAAACCAAAAACAATTTGTCAAACATTAAAAAACATACGCAATGATTAATATTGTATATGTATGTATATGCATATATTTCTGTTGTGATATTATAATAGAATGATATATGTATACATACATATACATATAGTATAATATTATATATTTAGTTATTGATATTAATTTTCTTGCATTAACATTATTGATTGGTATGATAGTAATAATATTTGTTTATAAGTTTGTGTGTAGTATTTTATGCACACTACTATGCACTTTATATATACTTTTTATATCTTATTATATTTTTTAGTTTACCCACTTTTTCCCCGCTATTAACATTTCTTTCTAAACAACTATTTTATGTTAAATTATTATTTTGTAACATACAAATATACTACATACATATATACACGTATTCTTTAAGACCTTAAGACCGATCATCACCATTACTGAGCGCTAATATTGTAAACATATTTTGTGATTTTAATATTTTTTATATTTTATTTGGTAAAAATTTGTTTGATTTTTTAACAAAAATATTTCGACGTCTTTGTAAGAGAGTTACGCGTAATATTTGTATGGTATGTGTATGCTTGTATGCTATATATAACACTTGCTAACAAAAAATATCAATATTCCCTCAATATTACTAACAAAATTTGCTTACACCCAAAAGCATGCGCAAATAATTGATTTGCTTGTAACACTTCTAATTAGCACCACTACTGAATTTAAAAAAAAGTTTGCGAACGAAATGGCTAAGCTGGCAAGTTATTTATTTGTTAGTATAGAATATAATAATAATGTGAAATAAATCGTTGTGTTGTTGAGAAATGCATTCTATTTAGAATATTTTTTGAAATGCCGTATTATTTGGAATATCGCAGCATTTCTATAAGAATAAAGAATAAATACAAAAAAGCGAAATAAGTGGTAAATTTAGAAACCCTTACACAAAAAAATCGTAAAAAATGCTAAGCCAAATGAAAAAGAAAGAGCGATATATGTAGATCGTTAGTTTGTATTGAAACGGAGCGGATCTAGAGTTTTATCCGGCCAAGGATTGTCAGCTCCAGTATTCCTCCAAATTACTTCGGGGATGTTTTCTACGGATACAGCAACAACAAAATTTAATTATCACACTACTTGGCAATCACATATCACCTTGTCTGTTCGTTTTATAAATTTTATTGAAAAATCTTTATATTTTGTTTAGAAAAAATGGTTTATACACACTCAGCCAACTGCTATCAAATGCATCATTTGGAAATTTTTTAAGGAGATCTTAGATAAAACTGAACTAGTGTGTTTGTTGAATACAAATGTTTTTGGTTAGGATATATAGCGACTCAACCGAGTTTTGCGAGATTTCAGGTATTTTAGACTTGTTAATAATGGCTTGCTAATTTGTTGTTCAGGAGGTAAAGGGTATCTAAATCGTAACTCGGCTATAACCGCTAGCGGTGTGGACGACAGTAAAGAAGAAAGAGTATCTAACATTAACATTATTCAAAAGTTGAAGAATTTGTTTTTGCATAGTTTATATACTATATATATTATTTGTATGATTGCAAAAGTTATTGAAGCAAAATTAAGAATATATGGTATAATTTCATAAAATGTTTTACACAATAAAAAAATGTGTTTAAATTGCAATAAAAAAAACAAAATTACTTAATGAACAAGCCAAAAGTTTAGTAATTGAAAAGGTAGCATAAAAGTGTGGCATTTAAAAAAAATTTACCACTCAAAGTTAGTCTATCGAAAAGTTTTTAAATTTCAAGGTTAGATAAGATAAAGTTCCGAAATTTCGACATAATGAAATTTTAGCACCTGCTTTAGATAAATATTTAACATTTTTACAATTAAAGGATTATAGGAAAGTCTAATAAAAAAAAAAATCGAAAAGTTGTCTTACCTGTATGTTTACAGGTTATACGAAAATGTGTGTTTTTTATTATTATGTAACGTTTTTTAAGAAAATATAAAGCTTTTCGTCTTTAAATCTATTTTAGTTAGTGTAGTGCAAATTTTCTTAAACGCTGGCTAGCTTTTTTGAGCACTAAATGTCACGAGTTATAAGTGAAATGCGTTAAATATAAATTTAATATAGAATTATGTTCGAAAACTGTGTCTAAAAACCGGAAATTATTGCGATTTTAGCTTCTCTGAGTAACACAACGCGTAATTTGGCTAGAAATGTCATTTTTTTTAATATTATTTGAGATGTAAAATAACGTCACGGTTTTAACGACTACATTCAACATAAATATATAATTTTACATAAAGCTAAGTTAATTTATTAAACATTATAAATGTTAGTTTTTATTGCTTTCAATACTTTTACGCACAATATTTGCCACGTAAATTTTGATTCAGCAAATGTAATATACGTTTATAATATGAAATAAAACTACGGATAACGCAAGTTAATGATAGTTTAACAGAATATCATATGTTATGTAAATATCAGATAAAGTTATGTATTCTTTATGCGATAGCAAAGTAAGGTGAGAATATAAATGTTAACGAGCAGTTAATTTTGAAAGAAGTATTTCCCTACAGTAAAATATCTTACTCAACAAAAAAGTGCTCGTTTGCAAGTAGAAATTTGTGACTGAAATGTAAATTGTGGCGAATATAGTGGTTAGCTAATCGCAATGTCTCACTGAAAGCTAACAAGTCAGAGCAGACTGGCTGGGAAGACCAAGCTTTCGTCAATTATAAGTTGATTTCACTTTAGAGATACTCTACTAACAATCACTTGCAGGTCAAAGAAGAAAATGTGGCTTCAGCATTTAGACTTGCAGTTGAATAATGAGATTATGTTTAGATAATAATTAAAACGATAATGCTTTCGAACTAGACTAAATACAAATCACAATGCGTTGTCAACACTTTTTCTGACTTACTACTTTCTATTTTGTTTTGTTTGTTTGCAATTTTTTTCCAATATCTTTAACATATTTTATAATTAGAATTTGTATTACATAAGAATCGTATTTAAATAATTAATGCTTGAGGAATGTTTTTTGTTTTTTAATTTCAAAATGAAATAACTTAATTTTTCGCTGTTATTTACGACCTCTGCACCGTACGCCACATACAAGCAGCACGACTACGAAACGAATTCACACGAATATACAACTTTTGCTTATGACAAGCTATTAGACACACGTATCGATTTGAAAAAAAAAAAAAAAAAATGTTGTTGTTGTAATATTTGCGAAAATTTCGCCTGGTTGCCTTTCATAACACCGGAAAGTTTCTAATTTCAGCCACTGCCAGCAACCATTTGAGTCAAACTCTCATGCTCAGCTCAAAATCCATCAGCTAGCAGGCACGCTTGCTTGTTTGGATGCGCTGTGTGCTTATGGTAAACTTAACTGGACATCGCAACGTCATCCTCAGCTGCCGCTTCATCCTCCAAGCCTATTACGGATTTATGCTTTTTGTACTCCGCATAGCGTATGTGAGCGTATCTGCGTTTTGGTGTAGAAAATATTGTAAATTTTTGTAAAAATTAATTTTTGATGTTTTTATGATTTGGGAAAATAGATATACATATCTATTGCTACTTACTCGACATAATCGAAATCGATGTTGGAATGTTCCCCCTGTATGAGCGACCAGACGGTCCAGAGCATGTGCGCGGCCAACGCGAATTGGTTCACCTGCAAGTACAAGCGTTCCACTTCGGCGTCGGTGATGTCGGAGCGTTGCAGATATTCTTGCAGATAGACACGCAGCCAAGCAAGTTGAAAATCACGCTTGGGATAGCGTGAGAAGTCCGCCTCGTCGACGCCGGCAAATTCACAAAAATGATTTCCAATATCGAATGCCTGAAAATTGTAATCGGCATATTCGTAGTCAATGAAATTGACACGCTGCTCTGCTTCCAGGTAGACAATATTGGCCAGCAATAGATCGTTGTGGGCAAATACCACGGGGCTGCCCAGGCGCTCAAGCCGCCTGTATAGCGCGTTGAATTCGTCGCGTAAACGTTTTATGGGCAAGAAAGTTTCCTCAACTCTGTAATTGGGGGTGTGTGGGGTGGGTTTGAATGAAGGCAAAAAAAATTTGCAACGCACAGAGGGGAAGAGAAAAAATCAAGAAAAGAAAAGCGTTCAATTTAGTTGCTTACAACTTTTGCAATATATTTTTTATATACTTATTTCTATATGTTGTGTGTGTGTGTGTGTATGTGAGTCTGCTAAGCTAATAGTAATGAATGCGATTTATTTTAAATGAAGTGATTTTTTTTTGTAGTCTTTTTATATAAATTTAAATCGAATGCATACAAGTAGTTAAAATTAAATTATTTTTTTGTTATAAATTTGATTTCTAAAAATATGTTAATGGCAACAGAGAATGCTATTTAAGATGATTGGTGTTTTTAGTTCTAATAAAAGTAAGTAAAAAACATTACTAGTTTCATATGGAATCGAAAATCGAATGGTACGAATGAGCAGACGATCGATCGAACGAACGAGTGGGCGGGTGTAGGCAAGCGAGCGAAGAAGACACAACGACAAATAGACGAAGAAGAAGTGCGAGCGACGAATTACGAGTAGGCAGATCCAACACGCGCACCTCTTAGCGCCTTGCGGACGCTCGACGCGTGCCACGAGCAGTCCCACGAAGGAGCGCCTACGTACAAGCAAGTGAATGCATGCAGTTTCTTGCTTTTTTAATGTGACGCAGCCGTACGGAAACACAGACGTCAGACAAATTTCGAATCAAACGTCATGCAACGCCACGTAACATGCAAACACGTGTGACATTGAATTATGGAGGTTCCTACACCGCCACGCGACTCCAACACTCTCCATTGCCCATACCTCCTCTCGCTAAATGCCCAATCGATTGTAAATCAACGCCCGCAACAACGTTCTTGCCGCAATATATTGACGCCATTTAGCCGCAGCCGAAGCCTGTATGGCCCGAGCCTTAGCCGTTTGGGTCGCCGCGTTGCCGCCGCCCCCATCCAAGTCCTTCATTGCATTCTAAACATTCTTTGGGTTGGGGTGGCCTACAAAATAATGAGTTTGGCATGTGACGAAATAAATTTCGTATTTCGACGGTGGCAATTACCTTTTGTGTTTCTCAGGATCACTAAAACGTTCAGGTACCAAATCGAAGAAACTTTGCGTTTTATGCCACAACATTGGCACCACTTCTACAGCTGGCGTCTCCTGCATCTGCACGCGACGATGCATCTCGGCAATGCGTGTTGCTACCAAACGCCAAATCTTCGGCTCCAAAACACTGGTTGGCTTCAATGTTACACCAGGTACAAAATCGTAAACTAAACCATTTTTGAATGTGGCAAACAGTGTCGGCGCAAAACCATACGTATGCAACAGCAGTATGTTGCGTGTCTCGGCTTTGCGATCGATCAGCAGATCGGTTTTATTACCATAGACACGCACCAGTATTACATTGCTATCACTGATCGAACTGCTATTGTTGTGGCTTTCATCATTCGTATTCACAACACAGCTGGCATTATGACTAGTATTTATGTCAAGTGCACTCGACATAGTCACCTCTGAATCCAATGTATCCGTATCGCTGATATTGCCCGAGTCATTGTTGTCGTCCAACAGTGTGGACGATGCCAAAGTTGAGGGTGAGTTGGGTGTGTCATTGCCATATGCGTTGCCTGTGTCGGTTTCATTACCATTGTTGTTTGTTGTTGTGGTGATAGTGGCGGTTTGTGGGGGATTATAGAAGCAACCGACAAGCTTATTTGTGATGCCATCGGTGAATTTCTAGAATTGCACAAAAAAAAAAATAATAATGATCATTATAAATTTGTATGTGGAACGAATTTATTTGCATCATTGCCGCTAACCATTCCGTGTGTATCATCCAATTGTGTGCCTAATAGGTGCCCACTAAATGATATGTATCATAACAATCATTGCTGGCACTTGGGGTATGCACTTACATACCACATATGTAGATAATTATATGCATGTACATTCCGTGACACCGAGCACTTGACATGATAACACTGTTTTGCTTGAATTAAAATCGGCTGTGTGCGCCTTTGGTTAGGCTTTGCAGCATAAAAATTAATCCTTATGGTACGCAGTGTAAACCAACAAGTGGAAAATTAGTGATATTAGTGTTTCATTGCAATGGCCTTGTCCTCTTGCAGTGATGTAAATTGTTTTGCTTTACACAATTTTTTAGCCGACACTCTCTGCCTGCAGCTGGTGTCAACCCCATCACTATCCAGGCCACCATTGTTGATATAAACTGAGATAATCTCAACTCGCATTTCAATTAAATTAAGCCAATTTATAGTCACTTTATCACACTTACAACACACCTTACACAAACACACTCGAATTTTGTAACACTTTTATTAACGAAAAGTAAAATTTGGTTAAGTGATTCTTTATCACTTTCAAAAATTAATAGCCGTGAATTTAGTGCAATCATTTAATTTATCAGACCGCTGATTGTTCACACAAAGTTTTTAGCCTATTAAAATAAATTTCACCAAATGACTGAGTCAATATGTTTAACTAATTGAATCAAAGTGTTTGCTGTTCCAATCAATTATTTAATTTATTCATTTATTTTTGACAGTCTTGATTTGTTGATGGATATTTCCATGATTAAAATGATGGAAAACGCAAATCTTGAGCCCTTCCAGTCAGTAATATCCAGTTTTGACTGTTTGACTATAGTTTTGAGTAGGAAACAAGAGTCATTAAGGAAAGTATAATGAAAATGCAATATAAAATTGCTGTAGCAAGTTTTTGTGAAGCTTGTTTTCGAGTAATTACTTAATTATTTTATTGTGATATTTAAGGATTTAATTGCAAAAATCGCTTTTAAATGTTAAAAACTGTCAGGACATGATATTAAGAAACTTTGGTGTAAGTCAATAGAGAACCAGTCACATGACAATTAATCGCACAATTGAAATTTCTTTTAATTTCAATTTCAATGATGGAATGGAAAATATATAGTCTAAAATACATCGATAAAAGAAATCCATTATTTTAATAGATGGCTGTAGTAGTATAGAGCTCACGTTATATAAATGCAATTGGGTTACACAACATGTAGTTCGAGAATATGATTTCATACGAAAAATATTCTCAGACAGTTTTGTGGGATTGGCTAGCCATCAGCTACACCCCTAAGTACAAACTCTTAATTCGGACATACTTTCATCAAATTGAAATTGAATTTTGTCCATTTCATCTCTTTCAAAGAAATCAACTCCCGCTGCAATACACTTATGCCAACAAATTTTCCAGGCATCATAGCACTTGAAAAATTTCTCCGTCGTGACGGCCATCGGAGCTTTCTTCGATTCAGCTTTTATTATATTCTCAATTGAGTCAAAATGGTGCCGTCAGAGTGGTCATGTGAATTTGCTGAATAGCCAGAAGTTACACGAAGGTAAATCAGGCGAATACGGTGGTCGCGCGATTTTAGTTGAAAATGTGGCGAAATGATCAATGCAGTATGAGATGGTGCATTAGCGTTGCAAATCGAAGAATTCACTTTTAGAGCCTCACAAAACGACGCGTATCTCAAATACTAATGAATACTTTGACGTGAAATTTAGCATAAAAGTCACTAACAGTACCTAAAACTTACAGAAAAAAAATTTATCAAATCGAAAAACACGCGAAGTATAAATTAAAAATTCACCTTTCAATTTGATAACTACTAAAACTATTAAAAGCTGCAGCGGCTGAAGAAAGCCATCTCTCAGAAGCGGTCAGTTTTGGTCAATAGGAGAGGAATTTTGTGCCATCAGGATGATGCCAAGTCACAAACATTGCCAGAGGTTCCAAGTTGCTGCTTGGTTTGCTGTTATGCAATTACTTGGAGTTCGGACCTGGCACGAAGTGATGACTACCCGTTACTGTCTATGGCGAATAATTTTGCTAGTTTAAATTTCATCTCAAGAAAAGCTTATAAAAATCGACGCTGCCAGATTATGGCAACGTAACTGGAACGAACCAGGATTTTTGACACGTAAAATACTCTTAACTCGGCAAAACTATTTGGAAAAAATTATGTCGCTCCAATAACAACAATAAAATGAAAACAACGAGAGAATGCATGTGCGATTATCAACATGTTAGTTAGCCACATACGGTTAGATTTTTGTGATGGACTCGTCAATATGTTTGGTTAATGTCAGCCAACCAAATACAACTTCGTGTGCGGAATCGTTGCAAATGTTGGTAAAGGCTTAAGTGAATAAAAGTTAAAGTGATTAAATTTTATCAAAAACACAAGCATAGGAGTCAAAGTCTACAAAACCGACCGGGAAATCGTTGAAGTCATGCCCCGTTCTGGACTGAAGGTCGTCCTGAATTTGTTTCCAAAAGTGTAGGTAAGAAAAGTTTCTTTGGACATTTTTGAGCGAATTCCGATCCTACATTGATGGACAGCATTATAACTGCCGATGAGACATGGGTTTATGAGTGTGAGTGTGTGCAAACAAGTTAACAATCATCGGAATGGAGGGAAGAAAGGAGTCGAAACCAAAAAAAAAAAAAAAACACACCAAAACTGATGAAAAATGAAGGTGATGCTCATTGCTTTTTTCGATATTCGAGAGGCGGTCAATAAGGAGCCGTATTGAGGCGTTTGCATGAGAACATCAGTCGAAAACGGCCGGAATTGTGGAAGAACAATTCATGCATTTTACGCGAAATGAGTGAATTAAAAGAATGGAATAAGTTTGGGAAAATAAAATATACACAGCTCATTATGAAAATGGAACGAAAAATTATGAAAATACTAAAATTTTAGACACAAAACTTGATTGGTGCAGTCGAGAATTTCAAATGGATGGTTTCAAATGCTATTCGTCTCATCATAAAACACATAATTTTCATGCTCAAATTCTTCTAAAAAAAAACCATATATTAATCACAAGATTAATGTGGGTGGTCTTATATATAAAGTAATTAGGGCTTTGGATTAAGGCAACATAAGAGCTAATGGAAACTTATGCTTATGCGAAAAAACTTGGATTATGCAGACAAAAATCTTAATAAATTGTCGAGAATTAAGTCGACGTAATTTATATAGGAATTATGGTCATTTGTGTTGCAGCGTAAAACAGCCTAATACGCACCGTAACTTTATTTGGAGTAAGTAAGCAAATGGAATTATGATCTTGATTTATTAGTTAGGCGTGATAACATTAATCTAAGTAACCTTGTTCATCTGGCAATCTGTTGTAGTGTAAAATAATATGAATCCACATTTATTATGTCTATATAATATTTTTGCACTTGTCTGTTGTTAACAATGCCATAATTAGCAATTATGTGACTGTATTTGCATTGTTTTATTTCTCTAATTCAGTGCCTGATAGATGTACCTGCAAGCATGCTTGGCTAAAGGGGTCATATATTACACTTACAAATTCCATCGATAATAAATCGTGAGTGATTCCCATAAAACGCAACAATATGATTTATTGCCAAGATAATGAGAAAATTTGCCAATGTCTCAGAACAACTATTTTAAAGTGAAGCTTTTAAAAATTTCTTTGCTATTTCTATTCTTATGCAGATATACATTGCGACAAAAAAGAACGCAGAAATTGTAATTTATTCCCCTGGTAAATGGTATGTGAAAAAAAAATGTAGTGTCCTCAATTACTATGCCAAATATAAACGCGATTTGTCAACCAGTTTGTTTACAGCAGCTGCTTATGTCGGTACACCTCAGAGGTGCATTGCGATTTTTAAAATGGATAAAAATAGCGAAGAAAGAATTTTTCTCAATTTTTTTATATCTAACTAAATTTTGTATGCGAAATTGTTGCAAATGTTCGAAAAGATTTACAGTGATTCAGTTTTATCAAAATTTTAAAATAAATTTAAATATTTTGCGTCTTATTCACAATCCGAGTACTTTTTTGTCACATTGTAAATACATGAACCACAAACTTGTTCTCATTTGTGCTCCCCAATATATGTATGTACATATATGTATGTACTTTAGGGTGATTCAAAAAAAATTTT